GGCTTATTTTTTGTATTTTGTACTAGAGACGGGGTTTCACCATGTTAGCCAGGATGATCTCGATCTCCTGACCTCGTGATCCGCCCGCCTCGGCCTCCCAAAGTGCTGGGATTACAGGCGTGAGCCACCGCGCCCGGCCAGGCTGACATTCTTTTCTCTGTTTCCATAGTACTTCCACACACTCCTCACCTCCTCCCCTCATCCAGCAAGAAAACACAGTGCTTACCTGATGAGCTCTACTGTTTCTGAATACATCGTATAAGGAGATTTGGATTCCATGGGGCCTTGTTCCATTGCATTTCCACACTCAATAAACGACAACGCCGCTTCAGCATAGTTCAAAGCCTTTCCAAACTTTTCCACCTGATCAACAGAGTTAATACAGTGTTGTCCTCAACAACAGTCTTTTAAAAAATGGCATTGTCATGTAGTTTATACACTTTGAGAAACCCAACTCTGACTTCTAAAATCCTGTGAATGAAGCTGAGAGAAGAAAGAAATAGAATACTTCTTTTTCTAGTTATTTTCTCAAACTGCTACTGGCTTGGAGTAAGTGAGCAAACAGTTACGTACAGAATTGTATCAAACCCATGTGACAGCTGCCAATCAACACAGCTCAGAACTGCATGGCTGCTCTGATTTCTGTTTCCCTCTTTCTAACCCCTAATGGTTTGGAGACTTCATTCCTTGTTCCTCCATGCTATGCTAAATATGCATCAAAGTTCATAGGTCTGGTCCCATATAAGAGTTTTCATACTTCTTTTGGTACATCCCCAACTCGGATGGTTCCAGGCCTTGGTTATTATCTTTTACATTACTTGTGGCACTCACATCTCCATGCCTTCCTCTTCTCAATTTTGTTTTTCTTTTTTGACATACAGTCTCCCTCTGTAGCCCAGGCTGGAGTGCAGTAGTGCCATCTGGGTTCACTGCAACCTCTGCCTCCTAGGTTCAAGCGATTCTCTTGCCTCAGCCTCCCAAGTAGCTGGAATTACAGGCATAAGTCACCATGCCTGGCCTCAATTGTTTGTTGTTGTTGTTGTTGTTAATATTTAGAACCTCACTTAAGAGTGAGAGTGAGTAGGGGAAAGGAGAGGAGACAAACCTCAAGGAGCTATTTCAGCTTTGCTAAAATGGGACAAAAAGTTGAAAATAAAAATGATTTTTGGTTGGGCATGGTGGCTCATGCCTGTAATCCCAGTGTTTTGGGAAGGTGAGGCAGGAGCATCACTTGAGCCTGGAAGTTTGAGGTTACAGTGAGCTATGATCACCCCACTGTGCTCCAGCCTGGACACCAGAGCAAGATCCTGTCTCTAAAAGCAAACCAAAACAAATTTCTATGGAATTATCTGTAGCTGTCTAAATTTGTGTTATTCTTTCCCCACATCAGCAAGGGCAGCCACAAAGCAGCTTTATATTCTTAAGATCTCATAAATCTAAACTTACACATCAAGTTCCTGGCTCCATACCTTACTACTCTTTGTAGGTAATTACATAGTCTAACTCTGGATTGCAAAATCTCCACAATTTTCAAATGATTCATTCATCAATTAAAACCGAATGACATAATACTCAAATACTATTCCAAGTCTTGCCACTAAAAATACAAAAAAAAAA